ACTCTCTCCCACCATGGCCGACCAGTTTTGTCTTAGGAGACCACTTATGGTGGTCGGCCGACCACTATAAGTAGCTGGCCGACCACTTCTTTTTGTCACATTTTTGGAGATATTTTCCTCCAGCTGACACAGCTGGAGGACACTGAAACCATCCTCCATACACGTGTATGGAGGGATTGCCTTGAACCCTTAGCTTCCTTAAGAAGCTTTACCTTTTGTTCTCTATAAGAGAGAACCACCTCCTCCCTCCTTTAGGTTCAGAAAAAATTGCCCTAAGAGTTATAGATACACCCTTGTATCTATCTTGCCCTTTACTTCATTTTTGTGCTTCAAAAGTGTAGTTTTGTCACACTTTAACACACAAACACACACTTAAACACCTTACTCTTGGAGCTGAGGTCCCTTGAAGTTGTTTTTGAAGTTCTTGGACTGGTTTGAGCTCAAAGAAGCTGTTGGAGTTGCAACTTTAAAGGTGGTCTTCAAGAGTGAGCTTTTAACCTTTTAAACCCCCATTTTTGCTTAAGCTTTTAGCCCTACTTGCATGCTGTTTTTGCTTTGACTTTCTACTGCAAAAAGTTCTGTTTTTCAGTCCTTGTGAAGTTTGTTTAAGGTCACTTTTGTATTGGGGTGGTCCACCCTCTCTTAGGCCTTGTTTTCAGCCACCTCTTTTGGCTCTTTGTTGTAGCCTTTGCATGACCTTTCTACCACTAAAATTCAGAGGATTTTCAGTGGTGGAAAGGTGGTTTTGAGGTCCCTAATAGGAGAGGGTCATCCTCTCCTTGTGTTTTGTATACTTGCTTCATATGCCTCATGTTTGAGCGTGTTTATTAAGCTTGTGTTGGCTTGTTCTTAGCATTTATTTGGGGTTATTTCCACATGTCTCAGATCTATTTTGACTTGGTTTGGTCATTCCATACATGCCTTATACACTTGTAGTGCAAATCTTGCAAACTAGCTTTGTGTGCCTCATGTTTAAGCTTGTCTTTCTAGCTGGTTGTGGGGCCATCTCAGTAGGTTTTTGGTGTTATTTTAACATGCCTTAGATCTATTTTGTGTTTCTTTCGTTGGATCTTGTATGCCTTATACACTTGTAATGTAAATCTCTTAAACTAGTCTTGCATGCTTCATGAAATAGCATATCATTCTAGCTTCATTTGAGTCCATCTCAGGATGTTTTGGGTGATGTTTTGCCATGTCATACCTCTGTTAAGGTTTGGTTTGGTCACCTCTTGCATGCTCTATGCACTTGTAGTGCAATTCCATGAATTAGCCTAACATGCATCATGTTTTAACATGTCATTCTAGCATGATTTTGGCTTAACTTCAAGAAGATCTTGTCCATGTTTTACCATGCTCTAGCTCTGATTTGTGTTGTCTTGGTCATGCATGCCATGCTTGGTATAGCTATAGTGCATTCTAGCTTGTTAGCTTTGTGTGTCAAGTCCACTAGCATGCATTACTTGGGCTATTTGAATGATTTGGCATCATTTCATATGTGATTCCAGTCCATGTTTCATGCTCATGCACTTGCATTTATCACTCGTTCAATGCGTTGGAGGGTTTGCCCCTTTATGCCTTAACATGAATCATTGAGTATGCCTTCATGCCTTAACTTGCGAGCCATCATTTCAATGTGTTTTTGGGGTTATCTTGCCATGATATAACTCTGATTTTTTTTGGTTAAGTCATCCCATGCTTGGTCTTAATAGGTGTAGTGTAATCCACCTTATTTGCCTTGTATGCATCGTGCCTTATGCCCTTCATGCTAGCATATTTTGGCTTCGTTCCATACATGTTTTAGTGTTTTTTTGACATGTTCTAGGACTGTTTTAGGTTGCCTTTGCCATATGCTTCATTTTTTGCATAGTTGTAGTGCAAGTGCTCTTGCTAGCTTCAAGCTTTGGGCACCATAGCATGCTTCATTTGTGTTGTGTACATGATTTGACATCATTCATCATGTCATTTTAGAGTGTGTAGCATTGCCATGCTCCCACTTCTTCCACCCTTTGAATACCTCTAAGGGTTGTGCATTTATTGCCTTGTTTATGGCCTAATGTGTATGTTTGCATGCCTAAGCCTTTGAGCCTCCATCTTAGCATGCTTTGGCCCATGTTTTGACCTACTTGAGCTCTGTTTGTGGTTGGTTCATGCATTTGTGCCATATATTGCATGTCTCATTTGTAGTCCTCTTTGCTAGCTTTCATGCTTTAGGACTTTTGCATGCTATACTTGTGTTTGTTTGAATGATTCGGCATCATTTTTTACGTAATTTTAGTGCATTTAGTGTTGTTATACTTCTGCATTTGTCACTCCTTGAGGGTTGTGCTCTTAGGCCTAGTTAAATGGCCAATGCATTTGTGCATGCATGCTTTGTATTTTGTGCCTTTATTTTGGTGTTATGGCCACTAATTTGGGCATGGCTGAGATCTGTTCATTTTGGTTTAAGTCCATTGAGCATTGTGTATGCCATGTAGTTCATTGCATTGTGTATGCTTAGGTTACATCCCATTGAGTATGGCATATACTTTGCATTGTGTATGCTTAGGTTGCATCGCATTGTGTATGCCATGTTGCACATTGCATTAAGTATGCCATGTTGTTGTTTGCATTGTGTATGTTATTTTGTTGCTTTGCATTGAGTATGCTATGTTACATTGCATTGCATGATTTGCATGCTTGTCCCTTGCATGTTGTTTGCATGCTTGTTTTATTGTATTGCATGTTTGCATGCTTGAGTTACTTTGCATTGTGTTTGGAATAGGTGTTAGTCCAAATACAGGAAACGAGAGACGTTTCATACTTAAAGTGATGAAACGTGTCTCAATTCTCGGTTGCTGACGCTCTTGATCATACATGATAGAGTTCTAGGCATTATGTGTTTACGTGTGCATTTATTTTCATATTGAATTGTGCAACTTCGCCTCTCGGCCATCATGCATTGAAATGCGCGATTGGTGGCTCGAGGGTCGAGAACCACACTCTCTCGAGCTTATGAAATGATAGGGAGGGTGGTTATGCACACATATCTTGCAAATACATTGCCATGCCCTTTCTTGCTCTCTGGTGTGGAAAACTGGAGTTTGGCAGCAACAACTGGTCGGCCAGCCAGAAAAACTAGCTAGCCGATCGCTTTTTCTGGTTCACAGCAAAGACAGGTGGTCGGCCATAGCTGGTGACACCTATAGGTGGTCAGCCACCCTCCTATGGGTTCCCATGGTGGAGTTTAAGCTTTCTGGAGCTTGGTGCAAGGTTCTGAGAACAATTGCAAACAGAGGCAAGTTGGGGCATCGCGATGGATTTCCGAACGAGGCGACCGGGCATGCATGCTTTCTTCCCTCTGAGGGCACCTCTGTTTACTGCTTTACTTAGCTAATTTGCTTAGCTAGTTTATGCTTTGGTTATGTAATTTAAGTAGTTAATGCGTTTAGCTGCTTATTCTGTTTTGTAATAGTTAGTTAATTAGGATTAGTTAATTAGCTTTATTATCTAATAATTAGTTTAATTAGCTTAAATTAGCTAGTTAGCTTCTTATTCGGACCCTCTATCGAGAGGGCTAACTATTGTAATAAGCGTGCGTGTGTGCAATGCATGCCTTCCAATCCCAATTTCTTTCTCCATTTTACTTAACAGCTTACGATGGTTAGTTTTAGGGCATATTTTGTTTAGCATACCTTATGCTCACATGCGTGCATCCATTTATCTGTTTTATATGCACCGGGCTCAGCGAATCATACTAATTGCATTGTATTTCAATTCCTATTTGAATACATGTACCAAGTTGCATTTCATATGCCATCTTAGAATGACCGAGCCTATTTTAATTGCATTCTCACATGTGTTGCATTAGCCATCTTAACATGAACTAGGATCATACATGATTTCTAATTAGTTCTCTGTTTTGACTCGGAGTACACTGTAAGTGTTTACGCTTTAGCATACTGCATGTGTGTTATTGATTGCCATGAAAACATGCTTGTCATGAGGCTAACTGCTTAGTTGATATAACTGCCTGAATGCATGTGGGTGAATGTTGGATTGCTTGAATTGGAACAATTAATTGAAATCTCCGATTTAGCCTTCTTGAGAGTAGCAAACTTCAAACCGTTTTCAAACAAACAAATATGCAATGTTTTGTTCCAACTTAGGCGATCTAGTCTATACTTGTTTGCTGTGCGCATAATATAGTAATTCTAGGTTAATAAACGGAATAAGAGCACATGTGTTTTCAAAAACAAAATATCATACTTAATACAAGCCGATCTTTGATCGGGCGAGTGGAGGTGCTCATTGCATGACCTTCCCCTCTCGTACCCAAGTTTCCGAGCCGAGGCAACTTTGGTGATGACGGACACGTGGCCTTAGGCACGAGTCAAGGTTTCCTAAATTTCCCCTAAAACAAAATATGTAGGTAGCGACTCTGTATCTAGCAAAGTAGTTCATGTTTGACACTTTTTTATTAAAATCAGTTTTCAATTTATATTTATAAAAATTTTAAAAACTGTCATAAAAACTTATTTGATAATTTTTTGGGTTTATAAATAGTTGTCTTAGTTTGTAAATTTCAGAAAAAAATGTAAATTCAAAAAATGAGTTTACGTTGATTTTTAAATAGAAATTTAAAAATTTTACTAACAATTTTTTTTTCAATTAATTTTTTTTTTCAAATAATTTTTTTCCAATTAATTTTTTTTTTCAATGATTTTTTTTTCTTCTAAATTATAGTAACCGATGGAGCAATTTGTAATGCTACTTTAAACCTTATGGAAGAGATTGTAATTTTTAAAATGTGAGGGGTGTCAATGTAATTTACCTAGTGAGGGCAAAATTGATATTTAAAAAAATTAAATTGTTGAGGAAAAATTTGTTATGAAACTTTAAACTTTAAGAAAGGAGATGTAATTTTAAAAAAGTGAGAGAAAAACTAAAATAAATAGAAACCTCAGGATGTCTGTGTAATTTACCCAAACCAAAAAAGCCCTCTATATTTGCTTCTTCTCCAACCGACAAAAGAGATAAAAAAAAACCCTAGTAAACTTTTCTTAACACAGTAGAATTTGGGAATCGAATTTTCCCTCCAAAATCCAACACCATCCTTCGAATCTCCCCTTCTTTTCCCGCCACTCAACTTCTTAAACCCTAAACCTACCTCTCTCTCTCTCTTCACTGCGCATTTCACCTAAAAAGCTTGATAAATCTGTCTTTTTATAGATGCATAGTTATTTGTTACTTCCGATTGTGATAAAATAGCTTATTTATTGGGGGGTTTGAGTTTGAATTTGAATTTTGATGTCGGATGAGTTAAAAATGGGGTCGCTGGGAGACCATGACGATGAGATCCAACCAGTTAAGCGGAATTCGGTTCTTGATGGTGGCGGCGGCGACACCGAGACTCAACTCTTTGGCAGTCAGTTTTCTTTGCCTCCAGTGCCTGGTAATCACTTCACTACCAGTCTTTCCATTTTCTTTGGTTATTATTGGGCAAGTGATGAATGGCATTTCTCTGTTGAATGAGAGTTGGAGAAAATGATATTGGGTCAGGAAAACATGCCGTAACCAAGAAAATGGTGGAAAGTGATTACAGTTAAAAAAAGAACAGTATGTTTGAATTTTAGGTATTGTTATGATTCAGCAACATGCATATATGTATAAAGAAATAATAAAGAATAAATTTGGTTAAAATCTGAGCAGAAGAATGTAGTGTTTAATTTGCTATAAGTGTCACTAATATGCGAGTACAACCAAGCTTTGGTTTCTTTTTTTCGTGTTGTTTTTCCTTTACGTTGTGTTTGAATTATGGATTTGGGTAGTGATTTGGAAAGGGAAAGGAAAAATGTAGGTCAAAAACATGACCCAGGAAGCAACATATTATGAATCGATAAATATGAACAAATATTAAAGATTCAATTTTAATTGGGACGATGAAAGGGTATAGTTTTTGTCTGTTGCATTAGCATTGCTGTTTGTGTAAATGATAAAACACTTTGTATGGGTATGGTTAACCTTGAGCCTTTGTGATGGCCCATAAACCCATGTATTCTACTAACTAGTTGAAGACAGAGAAAAATTAGATGAAGTAAGGCAGATAAATGTTGTGTTTCTTATGCATAATATCAGTTGGCTGATTTCTTATGATGACTCAGTAATGATGTACACAGACTTGGCACACGTGAGGAATCCAAGAGTGTACAAGTATCAGTTTTAACATGTCAAGTTAATTAGATGTACAAATTTGACATATACATGGTTAAAATGTTACATTATATTTTACCCATTTATTGCAATAGGTAATAAATTGAAGGACAAGGACTTTAATGAGTTACAGTTTCTACAAAGTACATTGCCGTTTATTGGTACCGTTCCACTTGAAGATGCATTTGAGACCCAAGTCACGAGTCTTGCTGGTGAAACTCAAGTATTGGATAATCATTATGATGCTGAGAACATGGACACCCAGTTGTTAGATGAGTGTGATGATGAAGTTGTTGATACTGATGACGGAGGAACAGACAGAACAGAAGTTTTGGGTGATACTGAAGAGTTGTTTGATGATGATTCTGTAAACATAGTTGGTAGTTATCCAATGAACCAAGAGAATAAGCTCTATTCCATTATTTCAAAACAAGACGATAAGGGTTGTAAAGGAGAATTAGATGGGTTGATTAATGAACAACGGAGTTCAGGTCAGTCTTTTTTCTTAGTAAAAGACAATTATTGTTGATGTTACTGATTTCATTTCACATCTCAATTACCTATCATTACTCTTTATCTATTTGCTTAAATTTTCTAAATCTTTAGTCAAGCAGATGAAACTTTCATAAAACTTGTGATGATTTTGTGCATTAACTAAGGAAATCTTTTTTAGCTGGATCAATAACAAAAGAAGTATAGGTTTACACTTTCAAAATTTTTTTTTTTTTTTCAATCTCTTACTGAAAAAATTTAAATCATTGCTGGTAGATAATTACATTTGACAGGAATGCTGGTGAAATGTGGAATGCCTTCTTTTGTTCTTTTAGAAGCTTTGAATTCTGAAGGTCAATTCGTGGACATGATTTAACTGTTATGTAAGTCTGGAATTGTAATTATTACTTGTTGACACAGGATCCATAAGAAGGAATTTCACTTCAGTCCGTGCAGCAGCTTTACGGGCCTCAGGTTTAGCAGCTCGTAACATGGCTTTTAAGGGAACCAACAATGAGCCATGTTCCATTAAGGGTGATGATCAGTCTTTAAAACAACATACTGCTGAGGATAATGGGATGACTGATATCAGAGATTCATTGGCATTTGGAAAGGAAATTGATGAGGATTTTCCAAGGGAGTACAATGAGCAAATGAAGGGATTAAAGAATCAAAACAAGTGCAGGGTTGGTAGTTCAACAGTGAGAAGGCTTTTTGCGGATGATACACTTGCTGAGATTGAAGGACTGAATAACTACACAAATAATGCTGGTGGAGGAGTTGACTTGCCTCAGTTGACCGATTGTGGCAATGAGATGGCTGGGTTGAGCTATGTCGACTCTCAAGAACCTGGAGAGTTGTCGCAAGCCAATGCACTAGACTTTGTGGACAGGTTTCTTAAATTCAATGACATGGATTTTGGTAAAAAAGTTGACATAGTAAGGTCCACTGGGGGAAAAGTAAAACCCATTTCAAGTGCAAAAGGCACCCAAAGTTTGGCCAAAAGAACTAATTTTAAAAGTACAGCGGGAGGAAGAGGGATTTTTGATTGGGATGATAACCGTGAAGATGAAGGAGGGGGAGAGTTCTTCACCAAGAAAAAGGAAGCATTCTTTGATAATGGAAGACAGAGGCATAGATCTCTTACCCAACCTCGTAAGCTCAAGCATCTTGACTCCAAAGGAACTGGTGCTGTAGATGAAACTAGAGACAAGGAAGAACGACTAGAAATCCATCGAAAGACAAAGGATTTAGCGAATTCCGATTCACGGTTAGTGTTGCATAATTCGAAAAGGAATTACAAGACAGTGAAGCTAACAGAAGCAAAATCTAAAAAGGACCTTACCAAGGAAATGGATGAACAGCTGAAGATTGGTTCCTCAGATGGAATCGAAGCTACTGGTTCTGACATGGATACGTCGGAGATGCTGAATGTGGGGGTTGATACTCAAATGGCTGCGGAAGCAATGCAAGAACTATGCTTTGGTTTGGACGTGGCTGACCATGACAACAAAGACACTAATCAAGGTACCAAAAATACGTGTGAAGGTTCTTCCAGAGGAGAAGAACAGAATAGGTCATGGTCTAAGAAATATTCTCGACAGAAGAGATCAAGTTTGTCTGGTTCTAGAGTTTTAACAAGAAATTCAAAGCAAACTAAGATTATTGGTACCAAATTGAGTGGCGAACCAACTCTTTCATCATTGAAACAGGCTAAGAATGTGAGGAAGGAAAGTGATATTGAGTTAGTGGCAAAACCAAAGAAGGCCAAGTCAAATGATGGAGTACACTTAACCACCAATTTGATTGAAAATGCAGACAAAGTATCTCCTGAAGTTAATGAGCAAATAAAAGAAGTAAGAGCTCCGAAAAGAAGTAACATTGATGAGGTTGGCAGATGCCTTGCCAATGCATCATCAAGTGGGCGTATATCAGTCAAGAAACGCCGGTTGGAAGAACAAGGTGGTTTTTGTACACCCATAGCTTGTCGAACTAGGCAGCAGCACAGGGTAAAATATAAATTAAGGGCTGGGATTGCGTCATATGATTCTAGAGAAGGGAAACATCTGAATGACAGAAGACAAGAGGGCATTACGGAGAAGGAGAAATCACATCAAAAGTTGATTGATACGATTGCTGCTGTTAGAATTGGTGAATTGAGAAACAACAGAGGAAGAAGAACTCAGCGAAAACTGTCAGGTCCTTTAAATGGAAGCTGCAACCTTCATAAATCAATCAATCAATTTGTTGGGAAGGAGACTAATGGACAATCTCTTGGAAAATCAAACAAATCAAAGACCAATGCTGTGAGTCCTTCCATGGATCTAGGCATGAAGAGGAAAACAAAAAGGAGACAGAGTGATGCAGATACCATGTCAGCTGGTGAACATGCTGGAGGAAATGCCAGATTAGAAGTGTCACCAGGAGACAGATGCAAACCATCTGGTCCAGCATCGACTACTCCTGTTAATTGTACCACTCCTATAAATGCTGCATCACCTATTTGTATGGGTGCAGATTATCTCAAACAGTCATGCAGGAAGAATTTGTCAAAATCATTCCTTATTAAAGAAATCAATAGCTTAATCTCCAAGGGACCAGAGCCTATTTCCCCAACCAAAGACTCAAGGAGGAGAAGAGATATGGCTAATGTCTGTGTCTTGTTTAGTCACCACTTGGATGATGATTTAATCAAGCAGCAAAAGAAGGTAGTCACTTATGGTATACTCTACTCTTTCCTTGATACAAGCAGATTCAAACTTCAAAATGTGCCTTATTCTTGGTCTCTTGTTACAGATTTTGGCCCGGCTAGGAGCTTCAGTGGCACCCTCTATTTCAGAAGCCACACATTTTGTAACGGATAAATTTGTCCGAACAAGGAATATGTTAGAAGCTATTGCTTTTGGCAAACCTGTGGTGACACGTTCATGGCTCGAAAGCTGTAGACAAGCTAGCTGTTTCATTGATGAGAGGAATTACATATTGAGAGATGCCAAAAAGGAAAAGGAGTTTGGGTTTAGCTTGCCGGTTTCATTGGCACGTGCATGCCAACATCCACTTTTACAGGTGCACTCAATTTTCTTTACAGGAAAACTCTGCTCACCCAGAAAATTTGTCAAGAAGTTTACCCAGAATGGGGAAGTGTGGTTGAAATTTAATTGGTGCATTGTGGGATGGGATCCATGCATAGAAAGAATCTGGACCACTCATTGATGTTTCTGGATAAAATTCTAGAAATATAGTGGGTGTTTGGGAAGTGAGTTTTTTGTAGGTTTTTTTAGTTGTAGGATATTATTGGAGAAAAAAAATTGTGTTTGGAAAGATAATTGCGTTTTTTTGTGATTGGATGTGATGTTTGTGAGAGAAAAAATGAAATGATTATGGGGTTTGATGTGATATTTTGTGTAGATTTGTTTTTTTTGGTTTTGTAACCAATTTGTGTTTTAGTGAAAAAAAACGAAAAAAAACCCAAAAAATTTGTTCCCAAACAGCGCCATAGTGTACTCTTATTTTTATTAATCAGATGCTGCAGCTGTGTGGTTCCTTGTAATAAGTTGTCCTTCTTTGCAGGGGCTAAAAGTTTTGATTACTCCAAATACAAAGCCTGGTAAAGAAATATTGGTGAGCTTGGTTAAGGCAGTCCATGGCCTGGTGCGTAAGTCTGCTAGTCTTTCTTTCGAGCTAAGTGCATTAATGATGACGAAGTAGCACATATTAGAATTCAGTTAATTTCACTTCAACACATTTTTGAATTCTCGTATGAAAACCAAGTTGAGTTGAAATGTCAGGCGGTGGAGAGAATTGGTCGATCAGCATTCAAGGACGATAAAATTTCAGAAGGCCTGTTGGTTTTATCTTGTGAGGAAGATTATGCTATCTGTGTGCCTTTTCTTGAGAAAGGTTAAGAATAATTTACCTTCTGTTTTGTTGGCCTTAATCAAATTAATAAAGATGGTATGATTTGAAATTTTTTAATTTTATGTATGTGCAGGTGCAGCAGTTTACAGTTCAGAGTTGCTACTGAATGGAATAGTGATTCAGAAGCTAGAATATGAAAGGTTGGTCTCACATACTTTTTCTTGAAAAAATTGAATTGGTTCTATCAGAGTGGGGAGATTGATGTGCCATCAACTATGCATGGGCATCATAATTGCATGCTGGGGCTGTTCTTACCAATGAATTATGATCTTTTATATATGCATACAGGTGTGTGTGCGTGTATAAGATATCAATTTTTTTCTTTGCCACTGGCTAGAGGATGAAATGATCTTAAAAAATCCTTTTCCTAGTGCTAAGAATGCACAGACAACACATACATGCGGATACTGAAATCTTCAAACAATGTAAGATACGTGTGTCTCAAGTATCTGAAACTTGTCTTGAGTTTAACAAAAATAGGACATATTTAAAAGTGTGTTTGTTAGACGCCACCTTAAAAATGTCCGTACTTCTTGAGTTTGTTATGTTGGATTGCATTTGAAGCGAAGATTTAAGTGTACAAATTTCTTTTACCATTGTGTTTTGATTTCTAACACAATTTTATGTTTTTGCTGGGCAGACATCGTCTCTTTGTAGATCATGTCAGGAGAACCCGTTCTACAGTACGATTGAAACAAGACAGTAATCACTATCTGCCTGTCACTAACCACAAATAAGATTGCTCCCTCTTCCTTCCTTTTATGTATTCTGTTCATCTCTCAAGGGCTTGTCTTCTGCATATTGTAAAGAAAGCTTCAATGTTTATATTCTTTGCAGATTTATCCACATGATTTTGTTTTTGTTTTATGTAATTTTATTTTTTGGTTTCTTGGAGCTTGCTTAACTACTTATCTCGCTCCGGTCACCAACATGCACATTAGAAAATTTCCACCACAGTTCAGGTTTCCTTCCAGTTTGAAAACGAAAATGATACTAAAAATGCGGTTTTCTCAATTATTGAAGGTATGAACCTACTTGAAAGAAAAAGGGGTTTTTATAGCTGATGAGGATTGAACTCCAAAAATCTAAATCAAACCAACTTAGGGTTGCATTGACGAAGCAGAAAGATTTGAGCATTTGTGTTGTTTTTCATTCACTCTTCTTGACCAGTGACTGGTAAATTAATGTTCACACTTTACACGAGAGTTTGGATCCTCTCCGGTGAATAATTCAATTCAAAACATGTGGAATAAGGCCTATTTCTGTGGGGTCTACAATCCCTCTAATATTATTTTGAACTGAACCTTCGCGTCAACTTAGGAGAAAACCAACAATAACCAGAATAAGGAGGATATCCTGCTAACTAATATATTTTGAACCAAACTGAAGCATTTCGAGGAGAATCCAAACACTAACTAGAACATGGGAATGATTAAACAGGGCTCGAGTTTTGGGAAACTTGAACTCGCCAAGCATAATATTGGATGTAAAGTGAGTTGAGGCACATTGCCATCCCAAAACCCACAACTGACGATAGCATTATAGCATAGACTGCCTTCAGATGAAGCTGCAAGAAAAAAACATGTACATTACTTTTAAGGTACGAGTCACCAAGAAAAATAAATAAAAACATAATAAGGAACACTGACATGATATGAATACCAAAGTATATACACAATCATCAGCTTTTTCATTAGTTTCGTTCTTTATTTTTGAGGAATTTTATTTATTTTCTACACTAAAGAACACTGTTTTGCAGCAATCGAATGGCTTACAAGAGAAACAAAACAAACACACAAAATACAAAAAATAAGTGGTTAGCCAATGTGTTTAAGTCCACAAAGAGGATATCAAAAACCATGTGCAATAAAGATTACAAAGCTCTGAACCTCTCAAATCAACTGCTCTACAATGGTGTTACACTCTGGCATAGTAAAATTCTAGCCGAAATTAGGAATGGCAACAGGCCGGGCTAGGGCCGGGGATTACACTCTCTGTCCCCGATCCCCGATGGCAAAAAAATCCCCGCTCCCGCCGTTGGGGGGCGGGGGGAGTCATCATCATCATCAATCATCATCAACAACTTTAAAAAAAAAAATTCTGAAATTGTATCTATCATCATCATCAACAACATAAAAAAGAAAAAGAAAAAAGAAAAAAAAAGAGAGATCTGAGATTGTTCATCACCCACACACGTATATATATATATATATCAGCATCATCAACAATCATCATCACACACACACACATATATATATATATATATACATACATACATACATACATAGAGAGAGAGTGAGAGAGCTTTACGATCTGTTCAGATCGGTGATCGTTGGCAACGGTCACGATCTGTTCACGAGCGGTGGTGAGGGAGAAGCGACAGCCATCGGTGTCGTGTGTGAGAGAGTGAGAGAGGGAGGCGAAAGCAGCGGCGGTGAGGGAGCAGCGAAAGCGACAACCATCGTGTGTGAGAGAGAGAGGGAGGAGAAAGCAGCTGCGGTGAGGGATAAGCGGCACTGCAGTCGTTGTGAGAGAGAGAGAGAGAGAGGGAGGGGAAACCCTAAGCCGTGAGAGAGAGAGAGGCCCAACACTTCTGTGAGTGTGTGAATGAAGTGAATGAGAACCAAACCTAAGCGCACATATATATATATTGCGCATAATGGTAATTTTGCATCGGGGCTATTCGGGGCGGGGTGGGTTCAGGGCTGGGATATGTATCCCCGTCCCCGGCCCGAACATCATCGGGAATTTTTTTTTTAATACCATCCCCGGGTTGCGGGGGATATTTTTCGGGGAATAACCGCTCAATTTGGGGTCGGGGGGTCGGGTCACCGTCGAGCCGGGTTCAGATTGCCATCCCTAGCCGAAATGAATTAATTAGGATGAGGAAAGGCTTCCAATTCCAATTTACAATGCTGTTTGAATAGTTTACTTCCTGGGTTCTCCAGTTTTAAATGTGAAGAACACAAAAATTGTTAATAGCCATAGTGAGTTGTTAATCATTGCATGTCCACATTCATATTGGCCATTTTGATTATCATTAAATTCTTTACCATGTTTGGTAACATTATCTATATTTTTTCAATAAGAAGCCAAAGTAAAGGTATTGTGCTCTGGAAAATGAAAAAAGATATATTTATATTAAAAAAAATTCAGAAATGCAAATTCACCAAAAAAATCAAGGATGGACATCAATGATGGAAACTGAAACAAAAATACATAATCAATTAAATAATTTGAGGAAGCATTACTCACCAGAGAATAAAATACATGGAGAATTATAGCCACAAGTGCGAACTCAAGAGCAGCGAATGTCCATATATACTCCTTGATGGCTGCAAGTGAAACAAGTCAGTATCAAGACAATCATACCTCATCCATCAAGATGGTTGAAATTTTGGAGGTTTGGCTATACCTAAGAGGACTGCAAATATTGATGCCAAAAGGCCCAATGTAAATGCAAATGGTGCAGCAACCACGATTGCTTGCGTTTTCATGTCATGAATCTGCAAAATGGGACGTAAAATTAGAACTGCTAGGCCGAATTCCAATATATATGCATGCAATAAAAAGTGGTGAGGGTTGGTAAGAGCTATCTCACTTTCATAGTGGGTATTGGCTCAAACATTCTATAATTATTATTATTTTAAAAATTGTTTCTAGAAAGTGAAAATACAGCCACAACAAAAATAACCAACAAAATCCACTTTATGACTACGAGGACATTCATAATACTTTGCCCTACAGGCTACAACACTCTTGAAGGTGGTCTTGATTCATGATTTTGTATGTTGACAAAACCGAACCAAATAGATGCGTCAAGACCATCAACAAAACATCAAGTGGAAAAAGTTTTGGCAGATGCAGTGAAAGATGTATGAGTTTACTGAAATTAGCAAAGGGTAAGTGCAATAACAATGTTCATATTCAAAATGCTGATGACTGTTGCTTCAGTCAAAATCTGAAATCAGAAATACTTTTCTTTTTCTCTTTTTTGTTTTTTGTTTTTTTTTTTTTTTTTTTTTTGGGGTTTTTTGGGGGGGGGGGGAATTCTCTTTGCAATACGGTATAAAGACACAGTAGGCCTTGTTCAAGCTTGAAGTTATTCAGGATTATATTACTGATGAAAATGTTTAAGCATCTATGCCTGAGCAACTCCTATCCAATAAATGTATTTCACAAATAAATTTCCTTTTTTTTATTGTGTGCGCGTGTTGCCAATGAGAGAAGGAAAAGGTTCCAGCCTATAAAAACATCAAACCAATTCTATAATGATTTTTTTTAATTAAGATGAGATAGCATACCAGTAGCTGCTCAAGAAAGAAGAAATAGCATATTGTGCTAATCAAGACAAGAACCACAAAGTCCTGCCAGGCACTGCATATAAAAATATCCATCAACATTACTTCAAAAACAATCACAGAAAAGAAAAAGAAAAGGAAAAAGAAAAAGACAGTGAATCTATGTACAGTATTAGTTGAATGCGGTTTTGTCAATTCAAATTTTTGTATGAGATTTTTCATCTATTTTCCCCATGAGAGCAAATATCTAGTTGTAAACTCTGGTGGTGAATTGCTCAAGACCGAAACTAAGCTGAAGCAGATGTTATTCAGTTGAGTTTGCTAGACAGATGAGTATCAGCTGATATAAAGATTGGCCCAGACTTGCTAGTCTAACATCAAAGCTTTACAGCATGACGTTGAATGAAATTTTGCATGTTAATTTTAATCACCTTATCGTTCGTGAATTCAAACTTTGCGGACTATGCTCCTGCCTATTATTTCTTTGATTTAAACTTGGCACTCGAAGCAAGGTTACTGGTAAGTTCAAAACCTCTTGCCCACAGACATCACAATTCTTGTTTCCTTTTGTGCTAAACCACTTTATTGCACATTCTTCATGAATAAGTCTAAGGGCGCCTTTGCAACTGCATTCCATCTTGAGTGTATTTCCTTCCTCACACACATCAAAACAGATCCGACATATTGCTTCCTCTTCAGCAATCTCTTTATCGTCTTCTTCTGGCAGAACAGGAGTAATTTGATCTGACTTGCCATGAGAAAATTAACAATAAACAAAGGACTGTCAGACAAAAACAGTACAAAATAAGATGCAGATATAAGATGGCCATGAGACGAAAGAAATGGCCTACAAAACGCAACCAACTCCAGATAGTGTCTGAGTTGAGAATCTAGATCAGTTGTGGGGGCAGGAAGGCTTGACTTGGCAACGTTTAGTTTCCAAAATCTTACTTATGGATGGTTAAGAAAAACTTAAAGCAAATTAAGAGCATTTGAACTTCAATGAGAAATAATATTTTATTTTTTCTCTTTAATTCAACCACAGACAAAAGTAAAACTGTTAAACAGATATTTGGAACAGTCCTCCTAGGTGCACAGATGTTTGGTAAGGTTTCGGCGAACATTTTTCAGTGTGCACATACTGATCCTATTTGGAAACTTGATCCACTAGAAGCAATGAACAATAAGAGAAGGAAAATACTAAAAGTGGTTAATTTTGGTATATATGTAAAAGTGTATTTGAAATATAGAAAATAAAATAAAAAAAGTAATATATAAAAGTGTATGGGGTTATGTGAAATGTGTATAGGAATTCTGACTTCTCAAGCATTAATTGGTTTTTAACAAACGCCAAGTGGGCAATCATTAGCAGGACCCATAATAGAATCATCTACATCTCAATGGTATAGAGTCTATAGACTGAAAGAGAAGCAACTCAGACAAATCAGTGCCTGATAAAAAAAGCTTAGCATTAGTAAATTTTACAAAGTTTTGAGGTTTCTGAAGATATAGCTAATAGAAAGGCTTGGCAATGACCCTACAAATTAATGTTGCTGCACAAAAAACAATATGACAGAGTATATGATCATACTACAAACCTTCAATCGTATCTGTTTCAGCATACTCTTTACAGTTAGCAAAAGATACTGATCTTACAATGACAACATTTCGACCAGGGACAGAGAAAGACCTTGAAACTGAACCTTGAACCGACCCTATCTGAAAGAAATCAATCACAGATAAATTAACACATAATATGTCTAATCTGCCACTGTTTGCTGATATAAAAACCTTACATTTGCTGCCATAGTTGAGAGAAGGTGCCTATAACAAAAGTAGGGGATGGCCTAATCAGCAGCCTAAACATAGGAAATATTTTAGTAGTAATTAGAAAACATTGTCCTCTCTCTCTCTCTCTCTCTCTCCAACAATATCAACAATATAATGATTGGAACTATTTCTTTCAATTTGAAGCATAACTGCTTTTTGGGAGGGTGGGAGGGTGGGTTAAAATTCTACTAGCCAAAGTGTATAAAACAATTTCAATAGTTCATAAACCAAGTGATATAGAAGATCAACTTACATGTGACTTAACCCGTTCACCAGAAATCCTTGCTGAAGCAGGTGTGGAAGCAGAAGGGGACAGGTTTGATGCAGGTGACACAGGAACAGAGGCACATTTTTTCCAACCAGACATGAAATTGGCCAAAACAGGACTTTCAGGAGCTGTCTTAAGGTCTGGATAGAGAAGTGAGCTTTTTTCACCATCAGGTGTCGTAACCTTCTTCTTGAAACTTAAACCCCGAAGAAAGCCCCTTGATGAAGAACTACCGCGGCTACTTCCCAAACCTACCGGTCTAGGAGGTATTTGAAGGGAGAGATCTGAGCGCTTCACGCTTTGTCCTAAATTTACAACTTCATCAGTGGAGCCTCCAAATTGGGGGTCAGCCTGCAGGTGATGAACATTTCAATACCGAAGATTTGGGATTTCAATTCATTTATCACATAAATCCACTCAAGTAATAACTCGGGTTCAAACATTCCAAAAATTACATGATAACTACTTAGTAAATCTTTCTACATAATTTAACTTCCATCTTTGCATAATTCCAACGGCTCATTTCAGGTGTCGTTTGTGCAAAATCACTTGAAAAATTATGCACTGTTTAAGTATTTACTCAATATTTGTACAAATTAAATGACACACGCCAATTCACAGTTGTAGTTACTTTGAGTTTGCACAATTTCAACAGCTCATTTCTGGTGTCGTTATGCACAAGATCACTTGCAAAATCATGCACACCGTTAAGTACTTGGTAAATATTTGAACATAATTTAAATGCCACGTACCAACTCAAAGGCACAGTTTAAGTGTGGTTATGAACAAAATCACCTGAAACATAATGGATTCCAAAGCCAAAGTCTTTCACATGTAGTCAACTATTCTGAAGCAAAAAGCTTCTAAGCATAAACTCAAATGAAATTAAAGTTAGGGCAAATTTAAACCCCAAACAGGCCAACAGTCTCACACGATTGCCTTGCCAAAATTGAACCACCATATGTATAAAACCATAAATACCAAATAGAACCCAATATCTGACTAACCCTTGATCCTAAAATGAAATTAACATTTATGAAAAAAAGAAGAAAAAACACACAGAGAATTGAAGATAAGGAAATCTTTAAATCCTAAATAGCCAACAGTTTCACATAATTTGACAAAAGTGAACCACCATATATAACCATAAAACCAAAGAGAACCCAGATATCTGACTAACACTAGATCATAAAATGAAATGGAAAAGCTAAAACCCACACAAAATTGAAGGAAATCGAGAACCCAATTTCTGGTGAACCAAGCATAAACACCACAATATATATATATATATATATAGAGAGAGAGAGAGAGAGAGAGAGAGAGATGGACCTTGGGAGGATCATCTGCAACAGCACTATTTTGCATGATTTCTCAACTTGTTCTACTTGTTTCCCTCAAAAATTATATGAAAGAAATGAAACTAGCAGAGGTTAATGGAGGTTGGGACAAAGAGGGACTGTGAATTCACTACCAAAATGGTTAAATTTAACAAATAAATAATTGAGAAAACAAAACAGAGATGAAGAGAGAGATGTATGGTGCTTTGCTTGGAAGATGATGAGATAGATAGAAAGAAAGAAAGAAAGAAAGAGGAAGTTGTGTTGTTGGTTCAGGCAGCAGGTGGATGACCCGCCCTAGTGGGTCCCTCGTTAGAGATGATAGCTACCTATCGTCCTCTTCCCGCATTCAATTCTGTGTATTTTTCTGGTTTCTTTTCCCCACTCCTTCGTTTCTCTGTCATGGGTACTGCTTCTTCTAAAAGGGTAAATTATCAATACACTTTCTTAAATTTATTTAAATTTCAAATTACACATTAAAATTTTAAAATTTTCATTATGTTTCTTATTATTTTTAATTTTATAATTAATAAATTTTTTTATTAATAAATTATCAAGTTAATTAATAATTTAAATAATTTATTATTATATATGTGAACAGTTAGAAATTTTATTTTTTTAATTAATTCTATTAAATAAAAAATTTTGACAAAGAGATATTTATAATTTTTTAAACCACAAAAAATAATTTGTATTTTAAATAAACTAAGTGTATTTGTAATTTACTTTTCTAAGAGCCACCTGCACTTTCATCCATTTTTCTTCTTTCTTCTTTATTTATTTTTAAATGCTCCCTTTTTTTTTATTTATTGGGAGAATTACTTAACAATGGGATAGAAAAAAAAATTACAAAAAGAGATAGCAAGTCATTATGTGATGAAATACAAATGAAAATTTGTGAAACATGTTTGTGTCTTTTTTTTTGTTTTGACCCCTAACCTTCTAAGATTATTCTTTGCTTATTTTTCTTTTAACTCTTACCATATTTTTAACTTTGTCATGCAACTTCACTCTTTCTCCTCTTTTTCCGGCAACCTTCATTCTTGCTCTAACCACCCTCTTCACCACTTCAACCACCATTTCTATTAGTGTTGCCACCACTCCTAACCCCTTGTTACCTTTTCTCGGCTCTTTTTTGCCAACTCCCAACCCCCCAATTTCAGTCATAATAAATTTTAGTAGGCTATTTTATACAACTATCTGCAACTCCAATGCCTTCTCAAATCTAACACGGCTCCCCTAACTCTTCCACCACCACCTAGCCTAATTCAACTAAATAATAAAAAATACATAATATATGACATTTTACGTCAAAATAAATGGAGACTTAAGGCATGTTTGACACATAATTAAAATAGTTATATACATATATTTTTATCTTTAGTGATATTTCTTAATATTATGTAGAAAAATTATTTCTCCAATCCATTTGTGAAGATGAATCTAAAAAATAGTAAAAATCCACACACAAAAAATAAATAAATAAATAAATTTGCTTCTTATTATTTATTTATTTATCAATTCTAAACTTAAAAATTCATTTAAAAAAAACACCCAAACACGGTCTCAGCATGAAAGTTATGCCGTGTGATCTGAAAAGTTGAGCCGTCGAGTGAGCAATTTCCTACAAAAGATTGAAATATTTGAACAATAAAAAAAGAGAGAGAAAGGGAGTGGAATGATCTTTGGAAGGTATTCTGGGTCGCGTAATCGTTGACAACTTGAGTGAAAGTCGTCCACTACAACTTGGTGGTGTTCAACCTAACTCCTCTTATTAGTTTCCATTATTTAATACTGTATTATTAACTATAGATTTCATGTTACATTTCCAAAAGTTTTCTTTAATAAAATTTATCAAAATTTCATTTTATTTGTTTTTTCAATTTAAAATGTTCTAACCAAAGTTTTACTATTTTTAAGATTGATAAAAAGGAAATAGGAGATTGAGATGTTGCATAGTACAATAATAAAATTTGAACTCCAGTTCAATTCTAGACTCAAAAACATATTAAAATAATAACTATTGATGCAAAAAAGAAAAAAAAAAAAACCCTTATTATAGACCAAGTGTTTTCTTTCTCTTTACTTTGTAAGACAAATAAATAATTAGAGAGTGCAGGTCTTTTGCAAGCTTTTTTTTTTTTTAACACAAAAAAAGGAGGTTCTGTGGGGGCATCACGACCTCCGCACGCCCAGGCCCCGGGTAATCGGTTGTCAGCCTGGTTTAATCCAACCTATAAGAAGGGACCTACCACCAAGGCACCAGTGGAGATTATCAACCGCCCCCAGTCACGAACAAGCTTGAATCTTTCATTATCAAGTTAATAGTGAGTTCATAGAAGTTTACAATTTAAAAGATTGTAAAATGTATTAAATGTCTCTTTTTGTGTGTAATTTACATCCAATGCGTAATTATAACTTGCCACCTTCTTACAGGGTGAATTGTTAGAAAGAGTATATATATTTATAGATGTCACATTGTTGAGATGTTTAAATTATAAATAGAATTAGTAAACCAATAAATATATGAACTAAATAAAATATTAAATAAATTCCACTTCAAATAATAAATTTGACATGCGTGTCTTGTGTTTATATGATATGTTAATTAATACATTATTAATTTTTTTAACATTACTCTTTAAATTACAAACAATAATCTCTATATCTAAATACACACTAATAGAAAAAGAGAAGATGTAAGACCCATACACATAGGTATGGAATTCCTTTCATACTGTAAGTCTTTGATAATTGATAATATAGCTTCTATGTATTTCCTTCTTGAAAAGTCTTCCTACATGTGATTGATTTTGAACCCCACTAAATATGTTGATATTTTGCATAATTTACAATTGCATTTCTTTCAATTCACTTTTGCACTCTTATATGCTAAGTTATTCATATTGTCCTCCACGACTATATTCAAGCCACTCAAGTCGTGCTCAATTATTTTAGGATAAATTACATTGACACCCTTTAAGGTTTATATTTATGACAGTTCCTCTCACCTTTTGAAAATTACGTCCCCCTCCTTGAGGTTTAAAATTTCATTATAGATTGCTCCCTGAGATTTAAAGTTTTATAACAGTTATCCCCTTCACCGTAATGATCATCATACATAAAATTAAATTAACAAGGAGGGTTAGTGTAATTTTTCAAATGTGAGGAGAGAATTGTAATAAACATAAACCTCAGAGGGTGTTAATACAATTTACCCATTATTTTAATCGATAATTCTTCTCATATAATTAAATTCATTTTCATCTTACCTTGACTAATACATATAATAATTGTGCTCAATTATATTGATGGATAATTCTTTTCATATAATCAAATTCATCTTATCTTGATTAATACATATAATAATCTTTTGAGTCAAGCTTTGATTGAATGAATATATTTAGCTAATATTATAAGCTAAACTTTTTATCGTACTACAAATAAACAAAACTTAAATAATCTTAAAAATGTTTAGGCATGGCCACAAAACAGCTCATAAGAAAAAACCGATTTATATTTGGTCGATTTTAAAAAATGATATAAATTAGACTATTTTGTTTGGTTTTGAATAGAGGTGTAAAAATGATTCAACCTGAACCACATGTTGGCCTGTCGTCGGGTCGTCCGGCTTAGCGAGCTCCAGCCAAAAATCAGTCCAGGCCATCAGGCCTCAAGCTTAAGCCAGGCTTGACTATTTTTTTTTATTTTTTATAAAAAAAAATTTATTTTGTTTTTCACTAAAATAACTTAAAAATGACATTAGATTTCGGGACGGGCCTTGGATTGGATCCGGCCCCAAAACACATGCTCCAGGCCCAGAGTCACGAGTGGACGTAAGGCGGGTGGGTCGATTTTGCACCCCTTTTGGGGTTCACTTCCCAAATCTTAGGGCTGAGCAAGGAATCTGTAAAATTCGTAATCCGATCCGGTCCAGTCCAATCCGATAGGTTTGGATTGGTTTTTTGAATCCGTGGTTCGGTTCCGGATTGAGAATTTCAAAATCCGTAGGCCACGGATCGGTTCCAGATTGAACTCCACGGTTCCGGATTGGAACCGATCTGGACCATCTAAAAATAATCTATATTTTTATACTATATACCTTCCCACACCATATAATTTCTTATATGATATAAATACTAAAATGTAAACCTAATCCAGGTCCAGCAGCTTCACCTCACTCATTCACGCCTCTCACTCTTCTGAGGTCTCTATATCGATGGTGTCTCTCTCTCTCTTCTCTTTCCCATCTCAGACTGAGTTCTCTCTCTCACACTCTCATCCATCTCAGATCAGATCGGTGTGCTGCTGCTCGTCTAGAAAGAGTATATATATTTATAGATGTCACATTGTTGAGATGTTTAAATTATAAATAGAATTAATAAATCAATAAATATATGAACTAAATAAAATATTAAATAAATTCCACTTCAAATAATAAATTTGACATGCGTGTCTTGTGTTTATATGATATGTTAATTAATACATTATTAATTTTTTTAACATTACTCTTTAAATTACAAACAATAATCTCTATATCTAAATACACACTAATAGAAAAAGAGAAGATGTAAGACCCATACACATAGGTATGGAATTCCTTTCATACTGTAAGTCTTTGATAATTGATAATATAGCTTCTATGTATTTCCTTCTTGAAAAGTCTTCCTACATGTGATTGATTTTGAACCCCACTAAATATGTTGATATTTTGCATAATTTACAATTGCATTTCTTTCAATTCACTTTTGCACTCTTATATGCTAAGTTATTCATATTGTCCTCCACGACTATATTCAAGCCACTCAAGTCGTGCTCAATTATTTTAGGATAAATTACATTGACACCCTTTAAGGTTTATATTTATGACAGTTCCTCTCACCTTTTGAAAATTACGTCCCCCTCCTTGAGGTTTAAAATTTCATTATAGATTGCTCCCTGAGATTTAAAGTTTTATAACAGTTATCCCCTTCACCGTAATGATCATCATACATAAAATTAAATTAACAAGGAGGGTTAGTGTAATTTTTCAAATGTGAGGAGAGAATTGTAATAAACATAAACCTCAGAGGGTGTTAATACAATTTACCCATTATTTTAATCGATAATTCTTCTCATATAATTAAATTCATTTTCATCTTACCTTGACTAATACATATAATAATTGTGCTCAATTATATTGATGGATAATTCTTTTCATATAATCAAATTCATCTTATCTTGATTAATACATATAATAATCTTTTGAGTCAAGCTTTGATTGAATGAATATATTTAGCTAATATTATAAGCTAAACTTTTTATCGTACTACAAATAAACAAAACTTAAATAATCTTAAAAATGTTTAGGCATGGCCACAAAACAGCTCATAAGAAAAAACCGATTTATATTTGGTCGATTTTAAAAAATGATATAAATTAGACTATTTTGTTTGGTTTTGAATAGAGGTGTAAAAATGATTCAACCTGAACCACATGTTGGCCTGTCGTCGGGTCGTCCGGCTTAGCGAGCTCCAGCCAAAAATCAGTCCAGGCCATCAGGCCTCAAGCTTAAGCCAGGCTTGACTATTTTTTTTTATTTTTTATAAAAAAAAATTTATTTTGTTTTTCACTAAAATAACTTAAAAATGACATTAGATTTCGGGACGGGCCTTGGATTGGATCCGGCCCCAAAACACATGCTCCAGGCCCAGAGTCACGGGTGGACGTCAGGCGGGTGGGTCGATTTTGCACCCCTTTTGGGGATCACTTCCCAAATCTCTTTCTCTCTCTCTCCTCGTTCTCTCTTCTCAGGTTTGTGTTTTTCTTCTGCTTCACATCTTCTTCAGTTCTTTCTCTGATCATCTGTGTGTATGCGTTTGAGTATGGCTATTTGATTGTTAATTGCTGAAAGGAACTTGCCCTAATTGCTCATTTTTGTACAAATTTTCAGTGGAAAAAGAAGTGAAATAGAGAAATGAAGTTTTGGGATTGGTACCTGAAGATATCAGTCGTGTCGGCGCTGATTGGAGGTTCAATGGAGTTTTTCATGGTCAAAACCGGCTTCTGTGTGAGAACACTCCTTTAGCTCTCACTCTTTTCCATTTTGCTTCATTTTTATCTGTTTGTGTTTTCTATTAATGTTCTGATTTATGAAATTTTGATTTTTTGGATTCAATGCTCTCATTCATTATGAATTTGCCCAGCTAAAATGAATGGCTCACTGTGGGTTATGGATTGAATTTATCAAATTTATTCAATGTGTTGATGAGGAGATTGGGTTGTAAACAAATTGCAAAATCAATGGATTATGTGAATGTAATTCATAATTTGCAGATAATCTATTAGAGATTTAGATAGTGTTTGGTTCATTGGAATGAAATGATTATTTCATCAAAATATTCATTCTCATGTTTGGTTAGACTTAAAAAAAAAAAAAAATGACAAATGCATTACAAATGGAATCATCATTTACTAATTTTAAGGAATTGTCATTCTATAGGAAAGCTTATGGAATCACCATTCTATACCCTCTCATTCCAATGAAAAAAATAGAGCATTATTTAGATAGTGTTTGGTTCATTGGAATGAAATGATTATTTCATCAAAATATTCATTCTCATGTTTGGTTAGACTTAAAAAAAAAAAAAAATGACAAATGCATTACAAATGGAATCATCATTTACTAATTTTAAGGAATTGTCATTCTATAGGAAAGCTTATGGAATCACCATTCTATTCCCTCTCATTCCAATGAAAAAAAATAGAGCATTAGAGTTTGTATCGATAAGCATAATTTTCACTGTAGTTAATTCTAAAATAGGTTTTCGGTTGGTACTGCTGCTTTTAGCCTTTATCTGAGTGGTTGGAACTTGGAAGTGTTAAATTTAGAACTATTAATTGCAAGAGTTGAACTATTTCAATGGTTTAAAAAAGAAATGGCTTATTCAATTCTTGCCTTCAGTCATTGCTGTATGGAAATGCAATTGATTTAGAGTTATGTACTCTGAATTTTGGTTTGCCCAATGATCAGAACCTTGATCTAACATGAGTTACTTTTAAAAAAATTTAAATGTTTTAAAAACATTAGTTTCGTGTAGTTCAACTCTAGTGTTTAGACAAAGTTTTATTGGGAATTCTATTGGCTGGGCAAGTGTATGTATTCGTCATGAAAATTTCAAATTCTATTATATACAAACAAAAGAAATTAGAAGGAAAATAAGGGAGAAAACTTGTAGAAAGCAATGTAGGCCGAAGAATCTTACTCAAGTACATCTCATATGATAAAGTTTTGGACAAACATTATGGTTAGGTTTTGCTTTTAGTAGTTTTGCAGACATGCATAGGAGTGACAAAAAATTTATTGGTTTTGGATTTTGGATTAGGACTGATTTCATCACGATTCGCGACATTAATATATGCGTTGAGGTGAAATTAAAACAAACTCTTACGAGCTTGTAATATGCTAGTCTTGGCAACATATGATAAAGCTGAACCTGTTAAATACATACTCAACTCATTAAGGCCTTTTATTCTATTTACTTCTTGTTGGCTTCATGTACTGTTTTTCTCAATTCAGCTGTCTTTGCCATCATCTTCCAGCCATCATGACCGGCATTAGGTCTAGTCAACATTAACAAGCATACCCTGTTAGAATTCATTCATATTATTCTCTCTGTGAATGAGTTTGCCTTTCAATTTAAGTTTTAGTAGGGCTTACATTTGGCATGTTGGCAGATGATAGAGTAACTGTTTTGGAATCAGAAAAGAGAGCTTGGGAAAGTTCCCCTGAAGCTCAAGCTATCAGAGAAGCTCTCAATCCTTGGAGAAATCGCGACACAGAAGCAACAAAAGATACCTAGTTTTTCCAGATTTTGGTGGTTGCTTTATTAAACTTTTTTTTTCTTCTTCTTTCTTGAAAAGGACCTATATGGTACGTGAGGATGTTGGATTTTTTACACAAGAAGGCACAAAAACAAGACTCTAGTTCTGAAACATTTAAATGTTGTAGAAGATGGACAACATGTCTGATTCATGTTGTTAGGTTATTATTGAACAATACGGATGGTGTATGTTTTTATGGAGCCCTTGATTTCATTGAATTACTATAGTCATTAATAATAATTGATCATTAAAATCCCTATTCCTCTGTCCTAATATGCAGTTGTATGATCATGTCCAATTTTTTTGTATTTTTATTGGTTGTGTATTGTGAATATGGAGACGGAGACTTTTGGAATGGAGAATCCTTGGTCAAGTTTGATCCCAAACACTAGAACTTGGACATACCACGTAGTTTTGTGTGTACTTACATAGGACCATTTTGTCTAAAAAATTGAAACAAAATAATCATAAACCAGACCCACTAGATATTTTCTTCCGAAAAGCCATTTGGGTTGAGATCACAATTAAGCGACTAATTGAGCTCTGTGAGTAATAGCAGTTGGAGATGCTACCACCTAAGCAATCAGCAAAGTAAGCAGGAAAAACTTCTTAACATAATTTTCTGAATAAAAACAACCAACTAGTAATGTGATTTGAGTCTCAATATAGAAATCATATTACATGGTGACTGTGATAATGTTTAGGCAAAATTTCTGATTCCTTGCGACAAAATACAAACCATATCCTTGAGGTCAGTACTGTTTTAGATGGCTAGAAAAAACTGTCAAATAACTAGGCACACTGGAGCCTACATTACAATTACAGAATCCCAGAATAGAATTTGTTTTTCATTGAATAATTCATGTCCACTCTTCTTTGGATCAAACCCAGCAATGACACCTTTCCCAAACACTGCACAACTAGTCCACTGAGAAGGAAGGTTCGGATCTGTTGAAGAGAAGGCATAAGAAGATATTTTAATGAATGGGACAAATGAATTCACCAAAAAGTGAGTACATAACAACAAGGATATTAACAATATTGACAAGGATATTGACAATGAGTATTCTCAGGTTTTCTTCATTAAAATCTGTTCGTATTAAAACAAGATATTTTCCAAGAGACGTCAAGCAACAAAGATAGCCATGCTTTAGTGAAAAAAAAAAAAAAAAGAGCTAAATGGTTTCCATTGATTTTCAAAATGTAGTTGTTGTACTTACATCAAGTAGAGGACATTATGCAGTGTTTTTTACTTGCAGCAAGTGTTTAATTTGATTCACTTTTCAGTACTTGTTCTTTCTTTTCTTTTGGGGTTCCAATTTCCAAATATGATTCGTAACATTTACCATTACTTTTAGAACTCAAAAAGCAAAAACATGCTTTCAGTGGCAATTTTTCAGATGTGTTCGGCAAACTAGTTTCTACTTCTAAACGTTTGCTGTTCTCTGCCTTTCATGTTAGGGGTGTGCACAGATCCGACCAACCCGTTCAAACTGCCCGGCCCGGCTGACCCAATCCACTTTCGGTCAGTTTCAAAAATTGTAACGGTCGGCCACAGTTCAATTTGGTTTAAAAATCCGAGTTTCGAGTGTTCAAATCAGTTTAAAAATCCGAGTTTCGAGTTGAGTGGCAGTTATGAATTTGAAATATTCATTTAAACCGAACTGGCCGAACATTTCATAGTCTTATATTTTTTTTGTATGTATTTATTTAAGTAGTGCCTATCAATTAAAGCTGTCTATACATCATAGCTGTATCTCATAAAGACACAATAAAGATTGTTTACATGACAACTGCATCCCTTAAACAACTCATCAGTCACGTTTTCTTTCTATTTTTTAAAAAATGATTCGAGAACTCTAAATTAAGAGCTCTAATAGCTCTAATTAATGTAAGTCCCATGTGATATGTGATGTAATGTTTTGACCTTGGTTTTTATTTTCCTTTTTTATTATTTATTTTTCACATCATTAGTGCTCTTTTAAAACTCCCAAATTAAAGAAATGTATCATTTTGTTATTTTTATCTTTTCTTGGTCTTACCAATTCATAAAGAACTTTTACTCCTTCAAACATCACTCTGTCTTATACCTTTCCACTTCCCAAGTTCCCATGTAAACATTCAGTCAGTCCCCTCTCTCTCTCTCATAAACCATAAGAGCAATGCTTGGTTGCCCAAAAGGAGGTTGGCTCGAATGGCTCGAAATTCATCTTGCTGGTGATTCGGACGGATGTCCGACAAAAAGGTTGACAGCCGTGGTCGACAAAGGTGACAACCGCGGTAGACAAGTTTTCATCCAGTCGTCCGAGCGGACATCCGGCCAACACCCATTCGGACCATTCAAGCCCCTCCTTTTCGAGCTACTAAGCATTTTTGAGACCATAAACCCTACGAAGTCCAGTAAATTAAAGAGACCCGCTCTCTCTATCTTCAATCTGAATCTATTCTATTCTTTTATCTCATTTTCTTCTCTCCCATTGAGATACAAATACTTTCTTCCTTATATTTGTTTCTTCCTCTTCCCTTCCCCCTTTTTGATGTGCCGGTGGCGAGGATGATTGATAGTGGTGATTGCGATTGTGGCTGCCGTGATCGATGGTGGCGGCGTTGATGAGCGACGGTGGGAAGCCCCCCTTCATACTTTTCTCCCAGTTTTCTCTCCTTTTTTCTTCATCTTTTATTTTATTTTATTTATTTTTGCTGTCTCTCCATCATTTTGTTATCTCAGAGATCTGTATATATGTATATATGTATGTGTGTTTTTATATAAATATATGATTTAAGTTATTTTTCTTCAATTTAGAAAGAAATTTCTTACTCTAAAATTTGATTTTGATTTTTTATAATTTTTTTCTCCATCAGATGTTTGAAATCAACTACCGACCGCCAATCCGAATCTTTTCATTCGGTCAATTTCGAACAGCTGTTCGGCCGATAACAGTTGATCACTTCTCTAAACCGATGGGGTCGGTTCAGATGATGGGCCAGTGGCATACCCAACCCGACCCATGCACACCCCTAATGTTCATTGAAAACTGTTAAATTCTAAAAACAATATTCACTGAGTTTGAAAAATTTCTAGATGAATTTCTGCTCTGCTTTCTTTCCTTCATTTTTTTGAACGAGAGAACTAATTATTTATTTGTTTTATTCAACACATAAATAACACAACCCAAATTATGCAGTTTTATGTATTAGTCTTTCAGAACATATGTAATGACATAATTGGAAAACATACCAATTTGGAAAGATCAACGACCGGCTTCAGAAGCTTGTGCATAGGCATAGTTATCTGCAGCAGTAGAAGTTGATGAAGCAGTACTTCCAGTAGTGGGATTGGCCTGGTACACAGTTTGGGTAACCGCAGAGGGGGCACCATTTGATCCTGGGGCTGGTAATCCCCCGGGAACTGTTGTTGGGGCATTCATTGTTGGAGGCCTCGGCAGACTATTTAATTGCATGGGCAAGGAGGAAGCAGCTGGTGGCTGCCCCATACCCGGTGCCTGCCCCATACCTGGTGCCATCATTGGAGCGACCCCATAACCTGCCAAAGCCACAAAAATTTAAAAAAAAATAAAAACAAAATTGATTTGATGCAGTTTTTTGTTTCTAAAATATAAAAAATAACCATTAGTGCAGGGACATATTACATGGATGGGTCAAAATTTTGTGTGAGAGTACACGTAAATACAAATAAAGGAGAGAGAAGATGTGTTTAGTGATAAATAACCAAGCTGGGCCAAGGATCTAGGATGCCAATGGTAATTATATGTACAAAGATTCCAGATATTGTTAAAAATTAAATGCTAAGGCTATAAAATACTCTAATCCACCAATCAAGAAATCAATCCATAGATACATGAAATCTTATAAAATCAAAAAAGTAAATGAAACAATGAAATAAACGTTGCAAATTTTCAAAGCAGAAAGAGTGAGCAGTCGTGGACAAATATAAGTCAATAGCAGTAAACGAGAAATTATACAGTTTATTGTATTTCCTGAAAAAGAATAATAAAACCTCATGAAATCAGCTAGATGCAGTACTACCTAACAATAGAATGAATATTTCAAAATTGAGAAGATAGTAAACAACTGAAATTCAAGTTCAAAACATAAATGAAAAGAACTTGAAAATTGCTGGGGTCTATTGCATTCCACAAAATGTGAAAGAACAATATGCAGACACACACAGAACAGCTGAAATGCAATAGCTCAGTAAGAGTGGCTGAAAATAAAAAAAGGCTCGAAAATATCAAAATTATTAATTACAGCCACAAGTTTCTCTCTTCTCTCTTCTATCTTAAATATACATATAGATACTACAACATTATTAGACTTTCAGTGAAAGGTAGGGATGAGACCATTTTTGCCATATCAAAATGCCATTTCATTGGAGGCACTGTGGCAAATAAATCTAGCTATCGGAAATCTTGTCCATTTACTACTACCAGAAAGCAAGAGTTTATTCATTCAGTCTTCTTGGAAATGCAGGATTTAATGAAGAAGGCGGAAGATTCTCCAACAATGTGACATCCAGGGCATAATACACTAAATCAATATGCATGTGGGCCAAATAAAGAAATACTGGTTAAACAATGTAAACAACTAAAAGCCTTTTAGAGTTCCCTTCAATGGGCAGTCCATGCCCGCAAAGTTGATAAGCATAATAATTTTACATTTTACAGACCAGCATTAAAGGGGAACAAAAAAATAAAAAAAATGTCAGCTCAGTTTCACCATAATCCCCATAATCCCCATAACATACTGCAGTGAAATAACAACTTTAACATAAACTGCGAACCACAGCAAAAAAGGATAGAAGAAAATAAGAAAGAACAAACATGACATTGTCCACAACAAACCCTTGTAATTGCACCATAAACTTTGCAGAGAATCTATCTGACTCAGCATCAGCAGAATCAATATAACACATAAAATGTTTAATTACCTGGAGTGCCAGGTCTTGGCAACACAGGAGGCCTGATTCCTGGAAACATTGGTGAGGGCCCAGCTCCTGGAATTTGTACCATTGGTGGTGGTAAAATAGGTAGACGGGGACGTTGAGGACTTCCTGGAAAAGAAGCAAGATGTTGATTGTAAACTGCACCTACTTGCTGGTACACTGTGCTCTGCCCTAAATGCTCCTTGATCTTTTGATCAATCAAACTTTGTGTCTGTTGTTGCTCAAATTGTTGATAATAGGCCCGTATATTTGCCTGAATGGCAAACAAAATACGCATCAAAATCATGGACAACATTATGTGATTTATGATAAAAAAAAATCCTTTCTATAATATTTTTAGATAGGTACCTTGTGTTTGTAACCGGAATTGTGTTGCTTTCTAACAGAGGGCTGAGAAAGTAACATAAGATAATTCTTAGTGACAAAGAATTATAAAGTGGTTAAGAATTAAAATGTCTCTAAGTGAAGATACTGAATGCTTCATGTGCATATAGGAACACAAGATAAACAATATAAGTATTACCATAGTCACATAAAATACAGTGTTCGACTATTAGAGTCACTGGAAAATAAAATGGGGTTCCTATTTATTTCGAACTGTCATCAGACAAATATTTGATTTACTATCCTTGAATTTTTTTTTTCCCTAAGCAAAAAGGATAGTAAGGGTTAAACAGTAAATTTAAATGATTCAAATTATGCCTCTGTCACACTCCCCACAAATTCCCCAAGTTCACACTTCACACAGACTTTTCTTCCTCTCTATTTCTAACATGCACCATGTTCATTGCATGTGAAAACTCTAATTATGTCAAAAGAGAGAATGCTGACAGCCTCATGAAAACATAGGCAGACAAGTAATTGCAAAGGTACAAAAATCAACAGAACAAGAGCCTACTAGTGAAGAGAAATTTTGGCACCAATAAATTAGAAGGAATCGAGTCAATTGGCTGAACAAAATTAGCATAAATAATGTTCGAAGAAGTGGGACATTTAGCCGAGAGAAACCAATGTCAGAGGAAAAAAGCCAATTAGACGAGAATTTTCGAACAGCCAATTCGTGCAGGATTGAATCAGTATCCTGCACCACTGTAAAGTATACTTCTATTGGAAAAACTGATTTCCCAAATGCACATGGTTTTGATCTTACCTCTCAAACACAAGTTGTTTAATTGAAATCGAATTATCAAAGTAAGGCTTTAAAAAGTTTTAAAACAAATTGATTGAATACCTATCAAAAGATCGTCACTTTGGCAAATAAGTTCAGAAGTGCTTGGATTTTAAAATTTTGTCTTGAAAAGAAGCGTGTTTGGCAACCAAAAAAAAAACCCCAATTTTTTGATAGCTTTCAACATGTACATATCACAAGCTGCTAGGTTGAAGACGATTAAAAGTGAAAATCTCATCTCATACACCCCAAAAAAAAAAAAAAAAAAAAAATTGAAATAAACTCACAGAATCATGAGTCAGGTAAGTGTCGCAGTAGTCACAATAATACCTGTAATGGCGCAAAAAACGCAACACAACAACAAAGAACAAGCAATTGATCAGTATCAGAAAACACAAATCGAGGCCTATATATGTATATAAATATACATACCGGGGCATTATGTATGATGAAAAAGAGATTCAGATGTTAGGATTCGCCGGAGCTAGGGCTGATTTGAGACGATCAGGTTCGGAGTTCGGTGCGCGAGCTACCACGGTTTGGTTCGGAAACACCCACTAAGAGCTCACCACGTCAACCTTTCCATATTAATATCTTCACGACCAGTGGCCCAGCCCAGTGGCTCTCTGGGCCCAAATTTTCCGGCCCATGTAACCCCCCTCTCTCTCTTACTTTTTTTTTTTAACCAAATTTTCCGGCCCATGTAACAGCCCCTCTCTCTCTTACCTTTTTTTTTTAAAATTTTTTTTTAATAAATTATAAATACACCTCCTTGAAATTTTCTTAAAATACAAAACACCTCTGTAATTTTGAAAATTACATTTTACCCTATGTTTTATAATTTCATAACAAATACATCATTTTATTAATAAATTATCAACCCAATTAACTGTTTTTAATGATATCAAAAAATATATTTTAGTTAATAATTTACACAAATTTATTATTGTGTAGGATGAAAGTTATGAATTTCATTTTTTCAATTAATTTTGTTAAATAATTTTTTTTGACAACAGGTATTTATAATTTTTCAAATCACAGGGAACAATTTATATTTTAATCAAATATTAAGGAGTGTATTTATAATTTACTCGTAAATAATTTTTAAGTAAATTACCCTTAAATAATTTTTAAGTAAATTACGTTGACCTCTATAAAGTCTGGAAAAAATAAAGTAAATTTCACAACTTTGACATAATTATATTGGATTCTCTTAAAATTTTAATGCATATAGTATCATTTAATCTATTTTTCATTAATAATTTAATAGTCAAGTAAATAAAAAAAATATGTGTAAATATGGATAAAATGAGAACTAAATTTACACAATTGAAACAAAGGCAATTTTTTTTAAATACTAATTATACTAATATATTAGCGTTGCCTTTGTAAAAATAAAATAAAATAAAGACTTTTTTTTCCTCATTCTACACAAAGAGAATCCAAACCGAGACCGGGATTCAAATTTGAGAATAATGTACTGAAATTTCAAGAAAGACTGTGTGTACCGAATGATATTAAACTGAAAAGAAGAGTTCTGCAAGAAGGCCACAATTCGAAATTGTCGATCCATCTGAGGAATACGAAAATGTACCAAGATCTGAAACAGAATTTCTGGTGGCCAGGAATGAAGAAAGAAATTGCCGACTTCGTGTCCAAATGTCTTCATTGCCAACAGGTCAAAGCTGAACATCAACGACCTGCCGGATTAATGCAACCCTTACCCATACCGGAATGGAAATGGGAGCATATCACGATGGATTTTATAATGGGATTGCCTCGCTCCAGAAAAGGTATGGATTCAATCTGGGTTATTGTTGATAGACTAACCAAATCCGCTCACTTCTTACCTGTCAAGACAACCTATAATGCGGACAAATTGGCTGTTATCTATATTGATGAAATTGTGAGACTGCATGGAGTGCCTGTGTCTATTGTTTCTGACAGGGATTCGAAGTTTACATCGAGGTTTTGGCAAAGCCTACAGACTGCACTGGGTACTGAACTGAGACTGAGTAGTGCCTATCATCCTCAGACAGATGGCCAATCAGAAAGGACCATCCAAACTCTAGAGGATTTACTGAGAATGTGTGTCCTTGATTTTCAGGGAGATTGGGAAAGTCATCTGCCATTAGTTGAATTCGCCTACAACAACAGCTACCATTCGAGTATTGGTATGGCGCCTTTCGAGGCATTGTATGGCAGGAAATGTAGATCTCCGATCTGCTGGGCAGAAGTTGGAGATAGGCCTTTGCTTGGTCCCGAGATTGTGTATGAAACGACTGAGAAAGTGAAACTGATACAACAGAAACTGAAAACTGCACAGAGCAGACAGAAAAGTTATGCTGGTGTCAGAAGACGAGACAAAGAGTATGAAGTGGGTGATCACGTTTTTGTGAAAGTGACACCAATGAAGGGCCAGACTCGTTTTGGAGTCAAAGGCAAGTTAGCACCGAGATACGTCGGACCATACGAGATCATTGAGAAAATCAATCCGGTGGCGTATCAAGTTGCGCTTCCTCCTGAAATGGAGCACATGCATAACGTCTTAAACATCTCTATATTGAGAGACTACCTTCGGGATCCTTTCCATGTAATTGAGCCTACTCGTATAGTGCTGAGTGATGACTACACTTACGAGGAGCGTCCTATACAGATTGTAAACAGACGGATCAAGAAATTGAGAAACAAAACGATCCCACTGGTGAAAGTTGACTGGCAAAACCATGGTGGCGTGTATGCCACTTGGGAAAGGGAAGATGACATGGCCAAAAGATATCCTGAACTGTTTCCACTGAATCCTGTTTTCTTCCAGAATGAAGGTAACTCAAGTTTAGAGGACTAAACTCTTTATAAGGAGGGGAGACTGTAACAACCCTCATACTGTTTACTGATTAATGACTGATTGATTACCGCTGTATTTAGTGATGCTTCTCATAAGGGTCTGGGGTGTGTTTTAATGCAGAATGGGAAAGTTATTGCTTATGCTTCCCGACAACTGAGAC